GATTTTTGATTAAAAAAGACCAAAATCTGATTTTTTAAAAGTGAAAACTAAACACCTTGTCTATGCTAATTTTCCCTATCTTTGATATAAGATAAAAGAAAAATGATATTCATCCTCAGTGGGGATGCATCTTCAATATATGTGGATGTAAATGATAGGTGAAATTAAATGAATAACATTTCTCTAAGATAAATCCTTTTTACCGTGAAACGTGAAAAATTGAGTTATTTTTGATTTATCTTAAAAAGGAAGATTCCAACTTCATGCTTGAGACTAATTCATATAATTAGATCTACTTAGGCATTCGACAGAACTAAATGAAGAGAAGAAAAAAGAAATGGAATGTGTTCATTTCAATTTCAGGATATGCCTTTGTACCTTAATTAATTGGATCTAGTAAAATGTCGTCTCACATTGCTTTATGTTATGGTTAAACATATAATGACCAGCAATGGAGTCTTATTTGGTTTAGAACTGTGAATGGCACAAAGTGAAGATTAGGATAAAGATTGTAAAAACATTCAACGATTTGAGATCGCTGCTGCAATTATCCCAAAATTTTATGCTAGATTGATAGGAAAAAAAAATTCACTTAAAATTTATTTAGTACATATAAAAATGACCTTTTTGGCCAAAAATGTTAAATTGGGCTATAGCAGAGGTCAATCTCCCGACCGCCATTTTTGGACCTTCCATACACTCTCTTGTAATTTCGCAGGAAAATTGCCACTCAAATTCTTTATTTCTCTCTCTAAACCTACAAGTACCCATCTCTAGACAATATTAACAAAAAAGAAAAGAAGCTGAAATTCTATTTATCGGACTGCTTACCAAACATACTGACAGTATTTCTTGGCTTGAACTAATTAGCTTGAGTCAACCTTCAACTAACACTACGGCTACGGGCCTTTGTTATAGAGCATAATCTTGGATTTCTGCTCAAAAAGTCATATCTTTCGATCATGTTGTTTCTTTTATCTGCTTTTTTCTTGGTATGTTTGGTAAAAATAATTGGATAGTATTGTTGAGTAGAGGTGTCGGTTCTGCCCATATCCACACGAGCTCGAGCATGAGCCGAGCTCGTGGCTCGTTGCCAACAAGTTGGTTTTTGGGCGAGCTCGGCTAGTGCCCGAGCTCGCCCAAAACAAGTCGCTCGGCTCGCCGGCTCGTCATTTTGACCTTTTTTTTAAACACTACTATAACTAAACATTAAATTCAAAAAATATTTATATACACATTTTCTATTTTTTTT